GGGTGATCAGTCTATTCCTAGATATCAGCAATGAGAAAACAGGAATAGAGGAGGAAGAACCTGTTTAACTCCAAAATGACACTGAGCTGAAGCCAAAGTTCCAAAAAAATCATATCAAAATTTTTGATAACAAAAAAATATTTCTGACTGCTACCCTGCACTGTGGAACAAAGTCAAGATGTACTTTATCACCTTCCCAACATTATATTTAGTAGAGCGAGGCTTCAGTACAGTCGCCAAGTTTCTTTCCAAGCAAAGAAACAGGCTGAAAATTACTGAACATGGGAATGTAAGACTTCTTAATGCCTTCAAGACTGATGCACCAAGCACATCCATCTCATTAAAACTGTGAAGACAATGTAGTTATAGATGAGATGTAAATTTACCCTTTCATATTCTTAAATAAATTGGTTTATGTTCATTTTTATTTGTAAAATAAATATGCTTCTGTAGTGTTAGATTAGCTGTTGTTGAGAAATTTTGCAGTAAACCTAATACCATGAAAGAAATGTGTTCATATGTGTGTGGGAAGTGCTAGGGATGTGGCCTGGAAGCGAAATGGGCAGAAGCCTGAAAAAGTTTGGGAACCCCTTCTGTAGAGGGTCACAACCCTCTCCACACATGGTATTGTAGAGGACAATATCAGCCCTCTCCACAGATGATACTGTAGAGGGTCACATCAACACTTTCCACATATGACTGTGCAGTGCCACAACAACCCCCTCCACACATTTCTAGACTAACAAGCAATGACATCTACAAAATAAGGCATCAGAAACTTGACTTTTTGAGGAGTGTCAAGAATGCAAGCATATTTTTTCCCATGTATTAATCACACCATAAGTTGAGATTTCAAAAGCAACTCTGATTTCCAGAACCTCATCCATGTCAATTATGAGATACCATACACAAGCCTGCATAAAAATATTTTCTACACACAAAAGCCTGGAAATTAAGATTGACTTATTTGCCTGTCAGAGACATGAGGGAAGACATCAATGTTTTCCTGTTTACTAAATTATTACAATCATATGTTTTACCACTCCTTTTTTTATTAATAACACTTTTATTAATTTCATAGGTATGATTGTAATTAACTTCCATGGGGAAGTGGAACAGAATTCTTCCTCCGTAAGCCATGCGTGTTGTAAGAGGCAACTAAAATGCCGGGAGCAAGGGGCTAGTAACCTCTTCTCCTGTATATATTACTAAATGTAAAAGGAGAAACTTTCGTTTTTCCTTTTGGGCTACACCGCCTCGGTAGGATACGGCCGGTGTGTTGAAAGAAAGAAAGATTGTAATTAAGTAATATTTCTAGTATTCATTACTTTACATATAATCAATGGAAATATTACAGCACACAAGAAATATTGAAATATTCTAGTGTATACTTTTGCTTAACATACATAAGTTTACCATAAAAGTGAATACCAGTTCTCAATGGGATTATTTAGTTTATTATTCCATCAGCCATAAATTAATCACAAAGTTATAAAATTTGAAAAATTATAAGTGCATATAAGTGGTCACAGACCGGGCCGCGGGGGCGTTGACCCCCGAAACTCTCTCCAGGTAAACTCTCTCCAGGTATACATTTGTATCTTATTAATATTCTGCATAACATGTTCTTTTTATCATTATTTTAACACTTGTTTGTACGTTATTTACTAAGAAAATTATAGTCTTAAGTAAATTAGTGTTAAATAACTTTAATATGACTATAATTCATATTTCATCTTTAATTATACATTTTTTCTTCACTGAAAAAAGTTTTTCAGGAAGTACATGTATACTAAGAACGTGGAGTTAATGCCCAGAACGTGGAGTTAATGCCCAGAACGTGGAGTTAATGCCCAGAACGTGGAGTAAATACCAAGAACGTGGAGTTAATGCCCAGAACGTGGAGTTAATGCCCAGAACGTGGAGTTAATGCCCAGAACGTGGAGTTAATGCCCAGAACGTGGAGTAAATACCAAGAACGTAGAGTTAATGCCCAGAACGTAGAGTAAATACCAAGAATGAAGTGTAAATACCAAGAACATAGTGTAAATACCAAGAACAGTGTAAATACCAAGAACAGTGTAAATACCAAGAACAGTGTAAATACCAAGAACGTAGTGTAAATACCAAGAACAGTGTAAATACCAAGAACGTAGTGTAAATACCAAGAATGTAGTGTAAATACCAAGAACGTAGTGTAAATACCAAGAACAGTGTAAATACCAAGAACAGTGTAAATACCAAGAACAGTGTAAATACTAAGAACAGTGTAAATACCAAGAACATAGTGTAAATACCAAGAACATAGTGTAAATACCAAGAACGTAGTGTAAATACCAAGAACATAGTGTAAATACCAAGAACATAGTGTAAATACCAAGAACGTAGTGTAAATACCAAGAACATAGTGTAAATACCAAGAACATAGTGTAAATACCAAGAACGTAGTGTAAATACCAAGAACAGTGTAAATACCAAGAACGTAGTGTAAATACCAAGAACAGTGTAAATACCAAGAACGTAGTGTAAATACCAAGAACAGTGTAAATACCAAGAACATAGTATAAATACCAAGAACAGTGTAAATACCAAGAACAGTGTAAATACCAAGAACGTAGTGTAAATACCAAGAACAGTGTAAATACCAAGAACATAGTGTAAATACCAAGAACGTAGTGTAAATACCAAGAACGTAGTGTAAATACCAAAAACAGTGTAAATACCAAGAACGTAGTGTAAATACCAAGAACAGTGTAAATATCAAGAACAGTGTAAATACCAAGAACAGTGTAAATATCAAGAACAGTGTAAATACCAAGAACAGTGTAAATATCAAGAACAGTGTAAATACCAAGAACAGTGTAAATACCAAGAACAGTGTAAATACCAAGAACATAGTGTAAATACCAAGAACAGTGTAAATATCAAGAACAATGTAAATACCAAGAACAGTGTAAATACCAAGAACAGTGTAAATATCAAGAACAGTGTAAATATCAAGAACAGTGTAAATATCAAGAACAGTGTAAATACCAAGAACAGTGTAAATATCAAGAACAGTGTAAATACCAAGAACGTAGTGTAAATACCAAGAACAGTGTAAATATCAAGAACAGTGTAAATACCAAGAACAGTGTAAATACCAAGAACAGTGTAAATACCAAGAACAGTGTAAATACCAAGAACAGTGTAAATATCAAGAATGTAGTGTAAATATCAAGAACAGTGTAAATACCAAGAACAGTGTAAATACCAAGAACAGTGTAAATACCAAGAACAGTGTTAAATACCAAGAACAGTGTAAATACCAAGGAACAGTGTAAATATCAAGAATGTTAGTGTAAATATCAAGAACAGTGTAAATATCAAGAACAGTGTAAATACCAAGAACAGTGTAAATACCAAGAACAGTGTAAATATCAAGAACGTAGTGTAAATACCAAGAACAGTGTAAATACCAAGAACAGTGTAAATACCAAGAAGTGTAAATACCAAGAACAGTGTAAATATCAAGAACAGTGTAAATATCAAGAATGTAGTGTAAATATCAAGAACAGTGTAAATATCAAGAACAGTGTAAATACCAAGAACAGTGTAAATACCAAGAACAGTGTAAATATCAAGAACGTAGTGTAAATATCAAGAACAGTGTAAATATCAAGAACAGTGTAAATACCAAGAACAGTGTAAATACCAAGAACAGTGTAAATACTAAGAACAGTGTAAAATTACCAAGAACTTTAGGTGTAAATACCAAGAACAGTGTAAATACCAAGAACAGTGTAAATACCAAGAACAGTGTAAATATCAAGAACATAGTGTAAATATCAAGAACAGTGTAAATATCAAGAACAGTGTAAATACCAAGAACGTAGTGTAAATACCAAGAACGTAGTGTAAATACCAAGAACGTAGTGTAAATACCAAGAACAGTGTAAATACCAAGAACAGTGTAAATACCAAGAACGTAGTGTAAATGCCAAGAACGTAGTGTAAATACCAAGAACAGTGTAAATACCAAGAACGTAGTGTAAATACCAAGAATGTAGTGTAAATACCAAGAACAGTGTAAATACCAAGAACAGTGTAAATACCAAGAACAGTGTAAATACCAAGAACAGTGTAAATATCAAGAACAGTGTAAATATCAAGAACAGTGTAAATACCAAGAACAGTGTAAATATCAAGAACAGTGTAAATACCAAGAACAGTGTAAATATCAAGAACAGTGTAAATACCAAGAACAGTGTAAATATCAAGAACAGTGTAAATATCAAGAACAGTGTAAATACCAAGAACAGTGTAAATACCAAGAACAGTGTAAATATCAAGAACAGTGTAAATACCAAGAACAGTGTAAATACCAAGAACAGTGTAAATACCAGAAACAGTGTAAATACCAAGAACAGTGTAAATACCAAGAACAGTGTAAATACCAAGAAACAGTGTAAATATCAAGAACAGTTGTAAATACCAAGAACAGTGTAAATATCAAGAACAGTGTAGATATCAAGAACAGTGTAAATATCAAGAACAGTGTAAATACCAAGAACAGTGTAAATATCAAGAACAGTGTAAATATCAAGAACAGTGTAAATACCAAGAACAGTGTAAATATCAAGAACAGTGTAAATACCAAGAACAGTGTAAATATCAAGAACAATGTAAATACCAAGAACAGTGTAAATACCAAGAACAGTGTAAATATCAAGAACAGTGTAAATATCAATAACGGTGTAAATACCAAGAACAGTGTAAATATCAAGAACAGTGTAAATACCAAGAACAGTGTAAATACCAAGAACAGTGTAAATACCAAGAACAGTGTAAATACCAAGAATGTAGTGTAAATACCAAGAACAGTGTAAATATCAAGAACAGTGTAAATATCAAGAACAGTGTAAATACCAAGAACAGTGTAAATATCAAGAACAGTGTAAATATCAAGAACAGTGTAAATACCAAGAACAGTGTAAATATCAAGAACAGTGTAAATACCAAGAACAGTGTAAATATCAAGAACAGTGTAAATACCAAGAACAGTGTAAATATCAAGAACAGTGTAAATATCAAGAACAGTGTAAATATCAAGAATGCTGTGTAAATACCAAGAACATGGAACAAATACCAAGAATGTAATATAAATACCAAGAACGTGGAGTGAATACTGAGAACATTGTGTAAACACCAAGAACGTGGAGGAAATACCAAGAATGTAGTGTAAATACCAAGAATGTGGAATATATACCAAGAACATGGAGTAGATACCAAGAACGTGGGGTAGATACCAAGAACATGGAGTAGATACCAAGAACATGGAGTAGATACCAAGAACGTGGAGTAGATACCAAGAACGTGGAGTAGATACCAAGAACGTGGAGTAGATACCAAGAATGTGGAGTAAATACCAAGAATGTGGAGTAGATACCAAGAATGTGGAGTAGATACCAAGAACATGGAGTAGATACCAAGAACATGGAGTAGATACCAAGAACGTGGAGTAGATACCAAGAACGTGGAGTAGATACCAAGAATGTGGAGTAAATACCAAGAATGTGGAGTAAATATCAAGAATGTGGAGTAAATATCAAGAATGTGGAGTAGATACCAAGAACGTGGAATAGATACCAAGAACGTGGGGTAGATACCAAGAATGTGGGGTAGATACCAAGAATGTAGTGTAAATACCAAGAACATGGAGGACCGTATTTTCTGGCATATGAGGCACACGAAACAAGTATCATAACAGTAAATCAATAATCATATTCAAGGGCTAGTGACCCTTTTACTTTATGCTACAGTGTAATCCCGACTTACCTTGACCTTGACCATATAAAGCACAGACTGATTTTCCAAGACTTTTTGTGGGGATCAAAGGCATACCTTATATGCTGGAAAATACAGTAAATATCAAGAACATGGAGTATATACCAAGAACAAGGTGCTAATACCAAGAATGTAGAGTTAATATCACTGAGACAGACTGGATAGCTTTATGAACAAGAAGATTTTTGCCTGTATTACTGTGGTGAATAAAAAGTTTCCACTGCAACTATGCCATTTACTTCAGAATTATGCTTACTCTTGGCATAAGTATTACATAGTTATTTTTGTAAGAAGAATTTATATAATGTTGTTGAAATATATAAGACCGGTTCTTGTTGTGGTGGAGCCAGCTGCTTCTCTCCTTTGTTTCCAGAAGATACAGCATCTGTAAGTTATAAATTTTATAAATAATGTATTACACAAAGAAACGTTTACAGCCATGTTGTATTTTTCCACTAAATTGTTTAAAGGCTCAACATTTAAATAATTCATATTCATATGCAGTATACAAGAGGGTCCCACTTAAACAGCAGGTTAGGTTCTGGGCTCCTGCTGGTATCTTACACTCATGAATCACGAAACTGGTATCTTACATTCAAGGATCACAACACTTACTGGTATAAACTGTAAGAGATAATAAATATTGCAGCTTACAACCGGTGCTATCTTCACAAACAATGCTCACTGCAAGCATAAGATTAAAATAAAGAGCTTCTAGCATTCGTGTTAATAACTACAAAAAAATTAGCTTACCTTTAGGCAGCAAGCAGTCTGGTATTTATAGATGACCTGACTTTTGACAAGGGCCCAAGAGGAGAGTTATTGGCCCAGTAGCGTCTCACAGCCTCTCGTACCTCTGCAGGCGTTATGGGATCCATTCCTATGCTATGATCATCTCCAGATCCAATCTCTTGTAGTGAGCCACTCTGAACAAAACAATTTACAACTGTATTACTAATAGAGATAATGTAGAATTACCTAAAAAAATGATTAGGCACTTCATAATCATTCTTTTAAATATACTTCAGAAGGTATTTAACATGAACAAATTCTTTCCATCGTAATGATTTCCTACAGTGAATCCCAGACTGGTGTGCTAGTTGTCTGGCATATGAGAAGGCACAAGAATTCCATGATGGTAGAAATAGCATGTAATATACAGTACAGACTGCATTATGCATGTAATAATAATAATATTAATATCTTTTCTCCATGGGGAAGTGGAACAGAATTCTTCCTCTGTAAGCCATGCGTGTTGTAAGAGGCGACTAAAATGCCGGGAGCAAGGGGCTAGTAACCCCTTCTCCTGTATATATTACTAGGTTTGAAAGGAGAGACTTTGGTTTTTTCTTTTGGGCCACCCCACCTCGGTGGGATGCGGCTGGTACGTTGAAAGAAAAGATTAATATCTTTATTTACTACAAGTACATGTACAAGGTATACAGGCCTAGCTGACATCAATGACATACTACTACATATATAGAAAGCCCCTTGTTATACTGAGCATTTTGGGCAAATTAGGTCAGTTTTGTCCCAGGATGCGACCCACACCAGTCGACTAACACCCAGGTACCCATTTTACTGATGGGTGAAAACAGACAACTAGTGTAAGGAAACTCGTCTAATGTATCCACCCCTTTTCCAGGAATATAGCCCAGACCCTCACTGTGTGAAGCGAGAGCTTTTCCCACCAGGCCACGGGGCACTGTAATGTTGGCACCTCACCTATGATATGCCTTTGATGAATTTCGAGAGTCTTACTACTCTCGGAGCCCCAAGAGTAGTGATTCACTCTTGAAGAGTGAATCACTGAAGACCAGTGATTTACTCTTCAGGAGGTGGGATGACTACATTTACCACTTTCATGAGGAGTCTTGGAGGACCCAGGCCAAGGTTAGTGGATGAGGAGGGTGATCCAGGCCAGGGCTGGTGGATGAGGAAGGTGAATTCAGGCCAGGGCTGGTGGTGGATGAGGAGGCTGATCCAGGCTAGGGCTGGTGGATGAGGAAGGTGGATCCAGGCCAGGGTTGGTGGTGGATGAGAAGGGTGGATCCAGGGCAGTGAACTAGCAATTCAGAGTGTAGCAGTTCTGGGGCCCCACTGCTCTGCTTACTGTTAGTTCAACCAGCCAATCACATGGAAGCCCGCCACTTCAGCCAAGGTGATGCCACTCCTAAGCACCTGGCTGAGGGGGCAGCCTTCCACTTTGAGTGAGTGGCTCTGATCTGCATCATTTCTAATCTTGCATTCTCTTGTTAACATTGTACATGGTGTATACAGGAGGCCCTCCACATTAGCAAGGGTTAGGGGATCAAAAATCTCACGACTCTTGAAAATTCGTGAATGTCTGGTGCACAAATATGATGTAGGGAAATATAATAATACTGTACTGCAGCATCTGCAAATGTTTTGATGTGCAAATATATTGTAGGGAAATATAATAATATCATTTACTTAGCCAAACAATACTTCTTCCTTAACTTATTGAACCACGAACAATCATAAAACACATGAAAACATCGTTGACGGGGTAAGAGGGAGGGTAGTAGGGACATGGCGGGAAGTGTTTTCCCATACTTTTTTTTTTCCCACATGAGCACTTGGCTGGGCATTCGCGGATGTTCAAACCTCGCAAAAGTGGAACTTGCGAAAGTGGAGGGCTAGCTGTATATTAGTGAAGAAATACATGGGTAAAGAAATCTACCTGTTTGTGTGCCTTACCCTTGATCTGCCCTGCGGAGTTATTGCTTGGGGATGTAGTTACGATTAGGTGCAACAGGCCATCAAACTACCACCTGTGTTCATAATACAGTGGACCCCCGGTTAACGATATTTTTTCACTCCAGAAGTATGTTCAGGTGCCAGTACTGACCGAATTTGTTCCCATAAGAAATATTGTGAAGTAGATTAGTCCATTTCAGACCCCCAAACATACACGTACAAACGCACTTACATAAATACACTTACATAATTGGTCACATTCGGAGGTAATCGTTATGCGGGGGTCCACTGTATTTGCTAAAAGCTGGTTTTGTCTTTATTCTCCTGGCAAACTTTTCTTAGCCTAATAGATTCTGTCACATTTTAGTGATGGATTCACATACATACATCTCTACTTTGATATATACAGTGGACCCCCGGTTAACGATATTTTTTCACTCCAGAAGTATGTTCAGGTGCCAGTACTGACCGAATTTGTTCCCATAAGGAATATTGTGAAGTAGATTAGTCCATTTCAGACCCCCAAACATACACGTACAAACGCACTTACATAAATACACTTACATAATTGGTCGCATTCGGAGGTGATCGTTATGCGGGGGTCCACTGTACTATACAAGTCCAATCAGGCTTTCATATTCTGCACCAGCCAATAGTTTGCATCAATGCTGCTATCTAGCACATCTGCTCCAGACTAGAACTGAGTGTAGTGCACACTGTGCTGCACTCACTGGACAGATTCAGGACAGGTCACATTCCTGCAATCTTCCATCGACCTATGGAACGGCACTGGCTAGTGCCAAACATTCGCTCTGTAGCCACCCCAAATATAAAATTATTGCAGCATGACAGAAGTCACACAATAGCTGGCAAAGATGCCAGCAGAATGGATGACAAAATTAGGTCTTTTCTTGTCAAGCAAGAGAGTAATCTCAGTATTACTGGTCATTTTCCATCTGGTCTGCCTAACAAGCATACTTTTTTCATTTCTCTTCTGTATATGACCATCTGGTGCATGTACTGTAAACTCATATTTTTTTGGGTAAGCATTACTCAAGAAATACTGGAATTTAAGAAGTCACATAACAAATCCCTCTATTTTATGTTTTAATGGGTTCCCTTTATGTGAATTCACTTTATGCACCATGGCCCAGAAACACATCTATTGTACAGTGGACCCCCGCATAGCGACTTTAATCCGTGCAAGAGGGCTGATTGTTATGCGAAATGATCGGTATGCGAATGGATTTTCCCCATAAGAAATAATGGAAATCAAATTAATCCGTGCAAGACACCCAAAAGTATGAAAAAAAAAATTTTACCACATGAAATATACATTTTCCTACACACAAAGAGAAGGATACATGCACAATAGTAGAGTAGTACATGCACAATATATATTGTGCATGTACTACTCTACTAAATGAAGAATAAATGACACTTACCTTTATTGAAGATGCAGCAATGACTGATGAGACACTGTGTCCTGGGAGTGCCTTTTCCTCCTGAGTACTGTAGGTCCTGTTTGGCATTTTCTTCCAGAACAGGCCTTATCACACTGTGTATGCCACTACGATTCTTAAATCTCTCAAACCAACCTTTGCTGGCTTTAAATTCACCAATATGAGCACTAGTTCCAGGCATTTTTCCCTGTTCACCTGGGTGTTAGTCGACTGGTGTGGGTTGCATCCTGGGAGACAAGATTAAGGGCCCCAATGGATATAAGTTAGACAGTCTTCGATGACACTGACGTTTTTGGGTTATCCTGGGTGGCAAATCCTCTGGGGTTAATTGTTTCTTGGTATTCTCAATAAGCCACACCAACAACGGTGCTACAGCAGCAGCAGCAGCAGCTGACAGAGATACAGCAGCAGCAGACGATGCTACAGCAGCAGCAGACGGTACTACAGCAGCAGCAGACGGTACTACAGCAGCAGCAGCAGAAGCTGACAGAGATACAGCAGCAGCAGACGATGCTACAGCAGCAGCAGACGGTACTACAGCAGCAGCAGATGGTACTACAGCAGCAGCAGCAGCAGCTGACGGTGGTACAACAGCAGCAGCAGCTGACAGTGCTACAGCAGCAGCAGACGATGCTACAGCAGCAGCAGACGATGCTACAGCAGCAGCAGACGGTACTACAGCAGCAGCAGCAGCTGACGGTGGTACAACAGCAGCAGCAGCTGTACCACCAATAGTAGCGATGGTTGATTGGGGTTTATTATACAACCTGGCCAGCTCGGAGACACGCACTCCACTTTCATACTTATCAATGATCTTTTTCTTCATCTCTATAGTAATTCTCACCCTTATTGCTGTAGGGTTGGCACTAGAAGCTTTCTTGGGGCCCATGGTCACTTATTTTCCAGAAAAAATCACCAAAAACACTGTAATAATACGAAATGTTCCGATTGTATGCTTGGATGTTACCGCGGAGGCTGGCTGTTAAACAATGCCACCGGCGGCACATGTGAGGCTGGCTAAGGGCGCACATTGGACGCGTCTCGGACGAAGAGCGGTGAGCGGGTTTTTGGGCGGTATGCGAGGCAAAATTTTTGCGATAAAAGCGAGCGGTATGCGGATTGAACGGTATGCGATGCGTACGGTATGCGGGGGTCCACTGTATAAGGACAAGAAAACATGTATATCACTGACTGGTGTATATCTAGGTCTAAGCTGGATTTCCTTATTTGCATTTCACCCATATAAATACTTTTTCCTCCACATGCAAAATCAAATTATCATTACAGCTTCTCCTCACTTAGTGACATACTCATTGACCAACAACTCAGACTTATAACGGGATCTCTGACCAGTATGCATACCTAAATAATGTATATTAGAGCAGATTTCCTCTATTCTGTTAATTACAATATACAGTAGACTACTGTATAAGCATTTAAAAATATACAGAAAATGTTATAAATGGTGCAAAAGTGACACTAAAACAATATCAAAAATGGTTGACACAAACCTATAGATTCACTACAAATCTTATGATTACAAGCATTGATCCTGATACCAACCTCTTATTTAATGACTTAAATGATTCAAACAATTACTGTAATTACTACACAGCAGAACAATCAAAGGCACTTCTCAGAGCCAACAACAACAACAACTATCTTTAACTACAATATCAGATCTTTAAGCAAGCATTATGATGACCTCCTAGCATTACTAAATTCCTTGCATGCCAATAGTCCATCATTACACTTTTAAAACTGATAAACCCGGCTAAAGCCGGATACTA